CAGGCCAGGAGGAGAGAGCGGTTAGAGCCCTCAGGCTGGCAGGGGAGCAGTAAGGGGCATCAGGCAGGCAGGAGAGCAGTTAGGGGCATCAGGCAGGCAGGAGAGCAGTTAGGGGCATCAGGCCGGTAGGCAGGTGAGCGCTTAGGAGCCAGTGGTTCTGGATTGAGAGAGGGATCCCAGATTAAAGAGGGTACAGGCCAGGCTGAGGGACTCCCTGCCCCCCTTCCCGTGCACAAATTTCGTGAACCAGGCCTCTAGTAAAAAATAAAAGAATGGTAAAAATGAATCAACTAGAATTCTATATATTGACATAGATGAATCTCAAAAATAATTTTGAGTGAAAAAAGAAAATCATACAGTATAAATCTATTTTCAGATTAAGTTCAACCACAGGCAAAATGTGACCATATTTATTCAGGGCTAAGTATGTAGACAGTAAAAAAATACTACAGAGAAAAATAAGAGTAAACAAAAACTTCAAGATTTGGAGGGAACAGAATGGTACAAATAATCCTTTTTCTGGACCTGGATATTGAGAACAAGGAGGATTATTTTCACTCTGTACCTACATGTGTATTTGTGTGTGTTTACTTCTTTATTTATGGTTTATTTCATAATATTTAAAGAAGGATAAACTATAGTCTATTGTATTTGTCATATATCTTCCAACGAATCACGTACTAATACTTAAAGTTTTTTAATTCTGTAGAAAACTTATTATATTAACAATTTTCTTTGAGGTCAATTTCCCTTGGCTCCAGTGAGAATAAGAATATAAAAGACATGTTCATTCAAGAGGCAGAAAGGGTAGTATGAAGCAGAAATAAATGTGATGTTCTGAATTTGATATCCAAAACTCATCAACACAAGCGAAGGGTAAGCACACCACGTCAAGTGAAAGCAACTTCGATGAATTAACAATGACAGTTATCATTAGTTGAGTTTATATGTGCAAATAATTGGCCAATTACTTAAGGTAGATTATCTTTAATCCTCACAGCAATTCTGGATGGTAGAATATAAGAAAGAAAAATTGATTTGCCACGTAACCCAGCTCATGTGTGCAAAAGCCAGTATCTGATCCCAGGAGTGTCTCTCATATGTGACCTTGTCATTACCTCATGTTTCCCAGATATTATTCAAGGTCAGACTGTGGGACGTAATGGAGCCAGAGAAGACTTGACCTTTCATCTAGCTCTGCAAATTATTGGCTGTTTGACCTTGGATAACATTTAATATATACATGCTTAAGACTTTGTGTTTTTTAAATTAATTAGAGATCTTAAAACCTGTCTATTACATTTATTATGAGGTTTAAATGAAATCTGTATGTAAAACACTAGTACAAAACATCTGTTCAATTAATGTTAGCTTATTCTATTATTATTATTCATACTTGGCAACTTCAGTTAGTTTGATTATATAAACATCTCCAAAAATTTTCAGCATCCTGTGGTTAGAAAGGGAGACATTTTGTCGGATTAATATAGGGCTGATTAAGAAAAAGGAGACAAAAAATAATAAGAGGGATCCAAAACTAAGGATGCTGGTAACTAACACACTTTCATGATGGTTCATAGGGTCATGGCCAAGGTGGAAAGACAATGAAACCTAGAATAGAAAGACTCTCTGAGAAATGAAGAACATTCTTGGGAAGACAGAGCAGCTTTAATGAAGATGGGGAGGGGGAGATCGAAGGGGCATGATTTGGGGAAAGGGATGAAAGAAGAAAATTAAAGAAGTCTATAATGACATCATCCACACCTGACCCAGAGCTCAAAACATTTCACAGCCCCGAACAATTTCATAACTGTTTGGATACCATCACTCCAGTTTTCCTGACAGGATGAGCTATGAGGAAGATTGACCAGTAGGACCTCACATTGTGGCTGAATTACCTGGGATGCAGCATTTCGGGGTTGCTCAGATGTCTTTACCAAACAATAGCTTTATTTCTGTGACATCCTCACTATGAAAAAGACACAAAAAACTAGAGCTCCCTCCGCCAAATAATAGAATATGGACTTCCCATTATATGTTATTCACTTTCATCAATTTCTACTTATATGGCCTTCTGAAACCCTGTTTCCAGCAACCTAATTTTTCAGTCCTCTAGAAAAACTTGCTTTTTCCTGTTAAGTTTTCCAACAAGCAAAATGTTTCCTCTATCTCTCACCTAAGACTAGAATTCTGCTACACATGTACAGACCTTCTTGACTATGTTTAACTTCCTGTCTGTTAGTCCAAGTATTGCCAACCTCAATCCCTGCCAGTGTCTAGATTAGAACATGGTACCGTACCTTTAATATTTTGAATTGCCATTTAAACATACCTGACCTAATGAGTCAATCTAATTCAAGACATATGTCTATTAAGTCAAGTCTTTCTGAATAATCCCAAGATACCCTCAGAGATTATTAAAAAGCAGTTGGGTAATACCAAGTACTATAGATTTCTAAAAACTTTAATGCCTTCTTCAGTTAATATTGTAAGAGCTATTTATTATTGGTTTTCTCTCTGCAATTTGAAATTGTTTTCGCTCTGACCCATGAGACATACCTTACTGTGTGCAGAAGAAATACTAATTAGAGATCCTTTCAGTGACAAATGAGACACTGCAGTAAGTGAAGTAGCACTTTGGCTTACACTGAACTCCATACCTGAGCGCATAGCCTCTTTCTGAATGCTTTCATAGTCATGCCAGTCTTTTCTTCTCAAACCATCTGTCCATGCATAGAATTGCCCATCTCCCAGGCCCAGTGGAAATGTCTGTGGAAAAGGAAAGTATTCAGAGCATAAAAAGGAGGTATTTCCTTTTGCATGGTAGGTAAACACAGCCAGGCACATAATAGGCAATCAAAGAATATTTGTTGAATAAGTGTTTCTAGCAAGTGTACTGAAAAGAAAGCTATTGCTAGTGATCAGATTAATACACATTTTAGAACCCTGTTTCAGCTTTTTAAAAATTATTATTTATTGTCTAAAGTTTCACATATGTCTCCTTTTTCCTCACTTAACCCTCCCCCCACCCAGCCATTCCCACCCCGGGAAAGCCCCCACCGCCCTAGCGTCTGTGTCCATTGGTTATGCTAATATGCATGCATACAAGTCCTTTGGTTGCTCTCTATGCCCCCCTCCCCTGCCATTTGTCTCTGGACTTATTCTTGTTCATCAGTTTATGTTGATCATTATATTTATATTCCACATACGAGTGAGATCATGTGATATTTATCTTTCTCTTACTGGCTGATTTCACTTAGCATAATGCTCTCCAGTTCTATCCATGCTGTTGCAAATGGTAAGAATTCCTTCTTTTTTATAGCAGTGTAGTATTCCATTGTGTAGATGTACCACAGTTTTTTAATCCACTCATCTGCTGATGGGCACTTAGGTTGTTTCCAAATCTTAGCTATTGTAAATTGTGCTGCTATGAACACAGGAGTGCATATATCCTTCCTGATTGGTGTTTCTGGTTTCATGTGTCAACCACAACATCTACCCTTTTCTATTTTATTTCATACAGAGACTTTAGTAATAATTCAGCGTTTCACCTTTCATGAGCATAAAAGCCTAGCTGTTTTCACTTGCCCAAAGTGTAAATATTAGTAATGCTATCAATTTTGGTATGAAATGAAATGAATTTTGTCTGTGATTTGTATGGTTTCATTAATTTTGATCAAGTGTATTTGAATGGCCTGATAGTAATATTAGCAACCATTCATTGAATGCTCACTATGTGCCGCTTACTATGTTAAATACTCTGTATATTGAAGATTGTTCAATCTTTATGATAGTCTTTGGTTGTAAATCTCCATTATTTTCTTCCTATTGAACTTGAGGCCCAGAGAACTGAAATAACTTGAATTAAACCACAGTGGCAAAGTCAGAACTTGGACCCATTCTGTTAAGACCAAAATTGTGGTCTTAAAAACTAGTAAATACTGCCTCCTATCTAGACTTCTGGTAAGTATGTTACCCGGTTATGCTTACAGTTGAAAACTATCACCCATTCAACAACTGCAGTCACAACATATGTTCTGTGCTTTGGTAAAACCCAGTATGTTCTAATGTCAACTTGAAAAGTATTTCTGTGTACATTGCTGAAGCTACTATTTTTATGGTGTTTATTTTTGGTAATAGAAAAATGTTTTAAATAAATATTATTTTCACCAATCTTAATAATCAAGAAAATATAAAATAAATTTTTTCATATTTACATATCATTTCCTTTTTATTTAGTTTATGTTTGAACTAATTACTATATCTACAGAAGTAGGCAAAGAAAGATTTTTTAAAGTTTCAATTTAGGTAAAACTAAAGCATAATTTCAGCAAGGAAATTTTATTCTATGAGACTTTTCAAGGCAAATGAAGTGTCTTATTAGTTTGAAATAGTGCAACTATTGTGCTTATAAAAATTATCTACCTTCAGTCCTTATTTATTGATTTTAAAAGATTCATTTACTTTTGAAAGAATGAAATGGAGCTAACAAAGAAAAACGATGTAGTTAAAAATCAGAGGAAAGATTATCCAAACCCTATATGTTTAAAGGAATTTATTTATAAGAGTGGTGAGTTCAGGAAAAACAGGAATAAACAAACATACAAGGATAACGATGAGTTTATGTAAAATGAAGGATATAAAAACAAGGAGATTTTTTTAAAAGGAAGATATAAAGAAAGAAAAGCTATGACAAAATTAACAGAAAAGAGTAAAGTAAAAATAGAAGGAAATGTGAAAAACAATTGGGATATAGTAGCAAACACTAGAAAAAAATGTCATGCATTTTTTCCTAATTGATAATGATTTTATAATTAAACTCAGCTATGAATCTGAAGTTTTAAATAATCAGATAACTTTAGAATGTAAAATCCATGTTTTGTCTCAGCCATGCATTTACAATGGTAAGTACTCAGCAATAAGAAAATCTTTCACATTGATTTAGATAATACCAATTTATATACATCACTTTCAGATTAAAATAGTTTCAAAATAAATTTTGACATGAAACATGGAGAAATAGTTGTGCAAAATCCAAATATGCAAAGTTCTGTCTGGTTACATATTAGTTGGCACACCGGCTCCCTTACACAAAAGGAAGGGAGACACTGAAGAAAGACACAGACCACTCCAGGTTGGTAGGCGGCAGGTTTAATAAGCTAGGGAACTACATACAAGACTTGTCTTAGTCTGTGCTATGAGACGAGTAGGTCTCAGCACCTGGCCAGAATCTTAACCTATAGAGAGGCTTTAACTGGTTCAGTAAGGTGTTCAGTCCAGGTGGTCCAACAAAACCTTACTCTTAAGGCTACATCCTTGAAAACTTTGTGGGAATGGTGGGCAGGGCATACATTCCTAGGTCAAGGGAAAGGGGGTGAGGAGCCACTGAATGCCCAGGGTCAAGGTCATGGGAAAACCAGTGGTCACATCCTCTTAATGGCTCCCTCCAACATTCCATCCCTCCACTGGCTTTTACAATTTTCCACACCACCTCTTCCTCAATTGGCCTTGAGTGGTCAGCAAGGTGTTTTATTAGCATTGAGATGGCTCATTTGGCAGCTATCTGGCTGCACTGGAGGCAGAGGCCTCTACAAGAATTTAGACACATGCAAAATAAACACAGATTAAGAAAATAATTCCCAAAATAAGTAACAATTTTTTTCTACCAAGGGCCCCATAATTGGAATCATTGATTTACAAAGTCACATAGACTGATGGGCATTTACTAGTGTCCTCATGTGAATTAATAAAGATGACACATTAGCAGACTCATTATGAACACAAAACATTCTCTTTAGATAATGGCACAGGTGCCTCCTTGCAAGGCAGTATTCATGCCCTTGGACATCTGTTTTGGAGGACAGCTTTTGTCATTAGAGACATTTAAATCAGTATTCAGAAAAGACAGACTGTTGTCTACCATTTGAGGCTTGCTGGGTGAATTCTATAAGGACTTCTATCCTATATAATAAAAGCCTAATATGCTAAGTGTCCGATCGTCCATTTGGCCGTTCATCCAATCAAAGTGTATATGCTAATAATATGCTAAGGCCACTCAACCGCTCCCTATGAAGTGCACTGACCACCAGGGGGCAGACAGTTGACTGGTCGGCCAGTCGCTATGATGTGCACTAACCATCAGGGGGCAGACGCTCCGACTGGTAGGTTAGCTTGCTGCTGGGATCCAGATGATAGGGACTGAGCGAGGAAGGCCAGACATGCCCTGGAGCCCTCCCACGGACCCTCCCTGGCTGGCCAACCTCCCATGTCCCTCCCCGGCCCCGATCGTGCACTGTTGGGGTCCCTTGGCCTGGCCTGCTCCCTCTCGTAATCCAGGACCCCTCAGGAGATGTCGGAGAGCCGGTTTGGGCACCGGGCCTCTAGTGTGATATAAAGTCCGCCAGGCAGTGGAGGGACAAAGAGAATGGCCAAATGATTATACAGGTGGAAAACAGAACGTGCCCACCTGGCCTTGAGGAGAAGGAGGTTGGCAGCTTTAGGAAGTTGACCTGGTTGTGTAGACCATCCACGTTGGCTGGAGGAGGAGCACTGTCTGGCTGAAGAGATAGGGGCCAACTAAGACTCCCAGCTTCTCCTCTCTCTCTAATAGTGAATGTTTCACTCCAGGTATCATGCATTTTAATATGTCTGGTTTGCAGCAGACATATTGGGATTGAGTTGTTCCCTCTCACTCAGGGGTACAAAGAAACTCACTCATCTCTGTGGGATGTCCGATTGCAAATTCCAGTAGATAATGTCTTTCCCAGGCATGATGGGACCTGGGTTCTCAGCAGGGTAGCTCACTGATCCACAAGGAAGAGGGGCAATGGCTCTCTTTGTCTTCCATACTTTTCAGGTGTTGGGTGTGTTGGCAGAGTCCCCAGTCTGGCACATGGGTCACAGGCCCTGCTGGCTAATCATTCAAATGTTTAAAGCCTGAAATAGCACTTTAGTCCAGCCAACCAAGGTGTGTTTTATCTGTTAGTGATTTAACCTACAGCTTTAATATTCCATTTTTCCTTTCTACCAAACATGTTGCTTGCTGGTTATACGTGAGATGGGGCCTCCATTCAATGTCATGTACCTTTGCCCAGTCTGGTACATCATGACCTTTGAAATGAGACCCCAATCACTGTCTATTCCACAAGGGTATCCATACATGGAACTCAGCTTCTCTTACCCCCTAATGGTGGCAGCCTGTTTTACACAATGATAGGGAAAGTTTATATTAGGACAGACACAGTCTTCTTACACAATAGGGCATATTTAGAACCATCACACAGAGGGAGGGGGCCAATATAATCATTTGCCAATCCAGCACCTGCTGGGAAGTTTTGTGGATGGCCTCAGACACCTGTGGCAATTGTCTTAGGCATTGTTTACAACACACAAGACATGCTATTAATACATTAACCTTGTGACTGCATTTCAAGGGCAAACCAGCATCCTTGGCCACATTCCATCCCACAGTCACTTCAGTGGCCAGTCTTTCTGTGCAAAAAAATCTGCTGTACTATTGCTGAAAGGTCATTTGCTAGGGTGCATACTTGAGCAAAGACATGAGCTTCCTGATTGCCAGGGGTGTGAGTGCCTTGTGAGCCTGGACTTGGAAGGTGGTGAGGAAATGTTGCTCTTGCAGGCAAACTCAAATGTTTTTCCACATATCCTAACCCTACAAGGGCTTATTCATGATCAGCTGCCCCTCAGCTTCCCGTTGTCCAAGCCATAGGGTTAATCCCTTTAGAACAGCCCAACTGTCAGTGTGAAGG